TAGTTGTATCTCAACCAAATATTGTCCTATCCTAACAAACCATACATCAATGGAAAGCTTATTTATTCAGCTTTCAGATTATGTATAAACCTCAATTTAAACAAAATTGACCCTTATGACTGGTTTTGTGCTTCTGGGTCAGATATGTCTGTTTAGGGCGAGACACTACAGGCAAAACATTTGTTTTTCATGCACTGGTCATTTCTGAGATTTAGATTTTCGTAATGTGTTTTTTTCTAGTGGACTAGTGGAAAAAACATCCAAAATGCACATTTAAGTGTTTATTTGATCAATTTGCAACTTTAGGTTGCAATCCCAATCCATATCTTTAAAGGGGTCATGACATGAGAAATCAAATTTGCCTTGATCTTTTGGCATATAAGAGTCTTTGCCCCATTAAACCATCCTGCAACTTTCAGAGCTTAAAACATCCTCCTCGTTATAAACAAAGCATTTATTTAATCGAGCTCCAAAAAACGGCTCGTTTGGATCTGAGGGGCAAGATGACGTCACCCAAGCACAAACATTTGCATAAACACGCCTCCAGAGCTAGACATCGACCAATAGTCTTCTACTCCGCATAGGCCCCGCCCACTGGGGGGTTCAGTCGCTAACGGCCGACACGTGATCACGCTGAATGTGTCAAAATCAGATAGAAATCACAATCACTGCGCTATCTCGTCTACACTGGATATACAGATATCAGTCTGTCGTCAGGACAAATGCAGTGAAAGATCATTCGCTTTGTCGCGTTTGGTTTAAACAGCTCGTTCACGTCTTTGTACAGATATCAGAAGGAAACAAGTGGATCGTTTATTTTAATGGTGTCTCGGAGGATTTTGTTTTGTAATCGAGGCACAGTGTCATGGAGACTCACAAAGAAACATCTGTTGAGAGATGAAGCAGAACTAGATCTGACTGCAGCTGCATCACAAACCGTAAGCAGAGGATTTCATAATGCTTCGTCTGGAAATGACCCTTTTATTTTGATCATGTTGTCAAAACACGCAATAGTGAGGGCCATTGATACCGTTTCCTATTCAGTGATGCTAGCCAATCATAACAGCGGCTGATTACTGACGAGCCTTAAAGGACACGCCCCTAAAAACAGCTGGTTTCAGAGAGAGGGTCAGAATGAGGTTTGGAAATTATCATTTTTCCACATATTTATGTTTATTTGTGCAAAAAACTTTATTAACATTGTAAGTAAACCTTAAGGAACATATTAAAATAATTTAAAAAAATCAATGTCATGACCCCATTAAAAAGTTTGTTCTCTAACAAACACCAAACTTTACCGTTTTATTCCTCTCTATGTTCTGAAGGTTTGTTCACATTTCGTTCACACTGATCTATGCAACACTTTACTGATCAAAACGTGTTTGTTTTCTGTCTGTTGACAGTATTTTCTGATTTATGGAGTGATTAAAAAGAGAAATCCAAAATGCACTCTGGAAAAACCTTTAATACATGTCAACAAAACAAGAATTATGAACCTGGCTTTATCCTAGATTTAGACTTCTGTTCTCAAATATGAGCATATGTAATCAGATCATGTCATATTTGCATATTCAAACTAAATTTCTGAAAACTGTAATACTAAACAGTTGTCTTAATGTACTGTGATTTATTGAACGTTTTACTCTGTATAGTGTCCTGCCTTAATAAAGAGTAGTCAGAATGATCAACTTTCAGGATGCATCTTCATCATCATCATCATCACAACAACTGATTTCACGGATCTTCTAGTGTTTGGTGTTAAACTCAGCAGCTGGAGCTCTTCATGAAATACTCTCTCTGTGTGTGAATGTATGTTTCAGAAGCTCTTATAATATTCAGTCAGGGCTACATTAGCATGCATCGCTTCAACTGTGACATGAACATTATAAAGGAGGCACACAACTCGCACACATGGCAAAGCCCCTTAATTCTCCAACAAATAACAGAGTGAGAAAAAATAATAAAAGAAATAAAACGTTTGTTATAAAACACCTTTCAGTCCATGCACAGCTGCAGCAACAGCATCGGTTTTAAAGAGATGATCAGTGACTGTACCTCGCGTTAATGTCGACACTGGAGCGCAAAGGGTTAAATGTGACATTTTTGTCCCATTTTGGTGCTACAGATGAATTCTGACCGATTATGATCGAAGCTCGTCGAATAAAACACAAGAGACTGACGTTCACCTCGATGTTCAGAAAACGTGTCAAAGCTTTCTTCGTAATTTTAGGAGATGCTTTAGAAATCAGCGTCAGCCATTGATATTAAATATTAATAAATCAAAAGGATAACGCGCATGCGCACTGAGCTGCATTGACAGCGAGGGAGAGTAGAATTCATCTCACACGATGGATATAGATAATACTTCATCTAGTTCAAGTATTCACTCTTTAGTTCCAAATCAGCGTTTGAACGCGTCTGTGTGCTGTTATTCTGACGCATATTATTGTTCAGACTGACGCAGAGACGCTGCTGACAGCTGTTACTTTACTCAGCGCTGCGCAGGATGGACCAATCACAGCCGTTTGCGCTGCAGCAATTAAACCAGCGCTGAGATTGACAGATGCCACTCGTTACATTACAACGCTACATTTTTATAGATACACCTTATTTTGCTTGCTTTTTTTTTTTTTAGCAGTTAATCAGTAAAATCACCAGAGCTGGGTAGATTACTTACAAATTGTAATCCTTTACTGATTCCAAATTACATGACAAAAATTGTAACGTAATCCATAACATTACACATTTAAGGTTATGTAATTAGACTACTTTCAGATTACTTTTGACCTAAGTCGTTTATCACATTGATTTAAATAGCATTGTACCATACTGATATAAAAATACAAATACAAAATATAAATACAAATATATTCCAATTGTTGTCAACTTAATGAAGTGCATTAAACATTATATTACATCAAGGTTTCCCAAACTGGGGTTGTGAAGGAACTGCAGGGGGTTTATGAGTTTAAGGAAAAGCTACTAATTTTCCTTACACCTGAAGTCTCGCACATTACATCAAAAATAATGCAGATATGCAAATGTCCCAACTAAAGCAAAACGTCTTGAGATTTATAACGGGATGGCCTGAGGGTGAGTAAATAGTCAGCATAGTTTAATTTCAGGTGAACTATTCCTTTTAAAAACATATAAAAGCTCAAATCAACATCGTTCTAAGCTCAGGGCTGCAGAAAGAGTATAGCGCAAATCAAAAAAATCCTACTGACCTTAATGTGTATCAGTCACTCCTCTCTTCCTTCTCTGCTAATGTCTCCACTGCTAAAAGGACATACTATCATAATAAAATTAACAATTCGTCTAACTCTTGCATGCTCTTTAAAACATTTTCCTCCCTCCTTTGTCCTCCTAGGTCCTTCAAGGTATCTTGTAGAGGTGAGGTGTCCAAGTCGCAACATCTAGCTACTGGGGTGCCTCAGGGCTCAGTACTTGGACCACTTCTCTTCTCTGTCTACATGGCATCACTAGGTTCTGTCATTCAGAAACATGGCTTTTCATATCACTGCTAAATATGAATGAATTTGTATTTAACATGATAAGAATTTAATAGAAACATTGTAAGTTACTAAGTATAATGATTACATTTCGTTATTCAAAAAGCAGCTACAGAAAATGAGCAAAGAACATTTACATTAACAAAGAACATCATCACTCACTTCAGTCTCGCTTGAGTATATGCACTTTAAAAAACCCTCTTGTTATAATTAATGAATTAATTATTAATTAATTAATGTTTGCCTACAAAACCACCACTGGATCTGCACCCCTTTACCTAAATTCATTACTTCAGAGTTATGTGCCTCTAGAAGCTTGCGTTCTGCAAGTGAACGTCGCTTTATTGTTCATCTCAAAGAGGCACAAAATCACTTTCACAGACTTTTACATTAACTGTTCCCTCCTGGTGGAGTGACCTGCCCAACTCAATCCCAGCAGCTGAGTCCTTAACCATCTTCAAGAATCGGCTAAAAACACATCTCTTCCATCTTTACTTGACCTTCTAATTCTAGCACTCTCTATTCTAATTATATTCTTTTAAAAAACACTTGCCCCTTTTAGACTTGCACTCTATTCATTCACTAACTGCTTGTTTTCTTAAAAAAAAAAAACACTTGCTTCTCTATTATTTTTGTATTCTATCTATTTGTTTTCTTTTTATTTATTATACAATTAACAAAAACAAAAAAAGGCCTCTAACACTAGCTTGCTCTATTCTTTTTCTAATCTGTTTTCTTTTTATTATATATGTGCTAAGTGTACTGCATTAAGCTAACTGAGACTTGTTATAGCACTTGTATATCATTGCTCTTTGTTGATTTTGACTGCTGCTATTGTCCTCATTTGTAAGTCGCTTTGGATAAAAGCATCTGCTAAATTACTAAATGTAAATCACAAATGTAAAAGTAAAAACTGTGAAAAGCTTGAGGAGAAACGACTGATATTACAGAATCATACGGACAGAGCACAAGGAAAAAACACTTTATTTCCAAATGACGTTCACGGTCCAATTACATGGAATTTTCTAAAACATTCAACATCACTGATGCAAACTACAAGAAACAATAGGTAAAAACGTCCAGATAAATGAAGCTCACATAACAGAAAGCATTGTGGGATAAGGTAAGAAACGTCAGCGGTCGCCTGTCCTACGCCTTCGGCTACAGAACCTTGTATCGGCTCTTGCTGGTGGGCTGGTAGGAGTTTTGCTGAAAGCAGAGAAAAAGATGATTCAGAATGAGACTGAGCTAGTTCAGAAAGGATCAGTGAGGATGAACTCACCAGACGGATCAGCTCTTCTTTGATCAGCCGTGTGATTTCTGCTTTGGCCTTCTGCACGGCCAGTTCATTCGCACCTGACAACAACACAGACTGCTTTAGTGACACGAGAAGACCAGCGGTGCTCTGGGAACCGGCGAGCACACTTACTCTCGATGGCCAGGTAGATCTTGCGCTCTCCCTCTTTGGGCTCTTTGCCCGGTGGGAAATATGTTCCTCGGATAGTGATGGCTGCCTCTGAATACTCGCCGATGCGCTGAAGAGCCTCCTTAGACGTCACCTTCCACCTCGCCGTCTGCAAAACAAACACCGTAAGCTGTCAGAAAACACACACACACACACACACACACACACACACACACACAAGTCCCCACCAGGATATATAAACCAATACACACACATACACACACACTCACAAACCCATGCACAGAGACACACACACACACACGCACACACGCACACTTGCACTCTCACACACACACACACTCTCACACACACACACACGCTGAGAATACATCAGTGACAGGCTTTCACGAAGTTAAAGTGACAAAAAGAACAGGAATGATGGTAAGAGTGATGAGTGTAAGCAGCGTCTGCAAACTGTCTGAGAATATGCTTCATGTCTACATACTTATGCAAACCATTTTATTTAATGCCATGTCAGCATCTTAGGCTATTTTAATGGCAAAAACGGAAAAAAAAAAAATACAAGTATAACAAATACAATTAAAACTAGCTAACAATGAACAATACATCTGTTGACAGCATTTATTAGCCTTTGCTAGCATTAGTAGTTCATGTCAGCTCAGGCTCATTAACCCTCATCATAACGCATTTAGTCTGTGTCCAAGAAGAGATCTATAAAAAAAAAATCACGTGCATATTTTTTAGTAAGGGAATGAAACTCAAAACACAAGACCCTCAAAATAGACATGATTAATTTTTTTCTGATTCTTTAGAATTATATTAAGATACATAACGATTTAAATAATGTGACATGTTTCGTGTACGGGTTGTTTTGACCCGGGTAAATACGGAGAACCATTAGATGTTAAAAATACTTTATGTAAAATTGTCTATGAAGTTATATTAGTGTCAAAAAACATTGTAAAATATATTTTCTCTCACAATTTTAGGACTGAAGTCGGTCAATAAACAATGCGTCACCTATTGATGAACCATTGCTGCATGAAAAAAATCTATTTCCATATGTTCAAACAATAATAAAAAAAAAATGTATATATGTGTGTGTATATAATCTCTGCATCCTAGTATTTTTGGTGTGGTTCATGTGAAATTTGTAATAATTTCGCTTTTTTTAAACTGATAAAAAGGGGTAAATGCAGCAATAACATGATAACAACATGGTAACGTTCAAAAGGTTGAAATGTTTTGATATTCACTCATTAATGAGAAGTTGCTGATCAGATACAGTATGGTTTTAGGCTTCATTTACACAACAACAATGTACTAAAAACAGAGTTCTCAGAATAAAATCTATACACACAGATCCACGGTTGTGTAAATAAACGCATAAAGTTTTTAGTGGAAAACGGTGTCGTATTAACGCCCTTAAGCTGGAAAATATTAAGTTATGACTATTTTATAACATAACGACATAGCATAGAAAATAGCATACAGATTCTGAATGCATTATGAGAGTTAAATATTATTCATCATAATAATAATAGAATAGAATAATATTTTAACATTAATTAAGATTAAGCTGAATGCTTCAGATTGTTATTTCATGTGAACAGACGGAAGCGTGTTGTAGAGTGTGACTGTAATTTCAGATGCGATCTAAGACCTGAGGGAAGTCGTTGATCTCCAGCTCCTCCTCGTATCTCTTGACGGTGTCCGTGGCCTCGGTGGCCTGCCGCTCCTCCTCCAGCTTCTCCACCGGAGTGTAGTTCAGTTTAGCGTTGATCTTCTCCGCCTGCTGCTCCGCGATGGTCTTAGCCGAGACGGAGGGCGCGATCATCGTCCCGCCGCGCAGGATAGCGTTTGTGGCCTGCTGCATCACATCCTGAGATCAAACACCGGACCATTAATATCAGCAGACAGACGCCGTCAGTGCGATATATGTGACTCTGGAGCACAAGACCAGTTATAAGGGTCAATTTTTTAAAATTGAGTTGTATACATTATCTGAAAGCTGAATAAATAATCTTTCCATTGATGTATGGTTTGTTAGGATAGAACAATATTTGGCCGAGATACAACTATTTGAACATCTGGAATCTGAGGGTGCAAAAAAATCTAAATATTGAGAAAATCATCTTTAAAGTTGTCCAAATTAAGTTCTTAGCAATGCATATTACTAATCAATAATTAAGTTTTGATATATTTACGGTAGAAAATTTACAAAATATCTTCATGGAACATGATCTTTACTTAATATCCTAATGATTTTTGGCATAAAAGAGAAATGTATAATTTTGACCCATACAATGTATTGTTGGCTATTGCTACAAATATACCCCAGCGACTTAACACTGCTTTTGTGCTCCAGGGTCACATATGATTTGTTGTAACACATAAAGTCATCTGCTATTTGTTTATTAGAAGCTTTATGTGAAAGCGTGTCTGACCTGTGCCTCCGCGCCGAGGTTCTTCTGCGCCTGGATCTTGAGAGCCAGTTTCTTGGCGATCTCCAGTTTCTGGATGTTCCCGGCGGACGGAGCGCTCGGGCCGCTCAGACCGGACATAGAGGTCAGGGATCCGCTCACACTGACCGCAGACGCTCCCACAGCGCCGCCCGGAGCAGAGAGATCCTTCACACGCTTCTTAGAGTTAAACATGCTCTCGATCTGCTCGTCGATCTGCAGACGCATCAGACATCAGCTGTTACACACACTCACTGTCACTATATCAGTCATGAGAGGACAGCGAGGACAAGTCTGAATAAATCTGCTCTGATCAGGGTTATATGAGCTGATGAGATGAACTCACGTCCAGAGCCGCATCCTCGTCGTCAGAGTCGTGCAGACCTAACGCAGCCTTCTGCAGCTTCTTCCGCTCGTTAGCCAGCACGTGCTCCGTCTCGTCAAACTTAAAGCCCTTCCCGGAGAATCCACTGCTGCTCTTGATGCTCTTCCCCTCCTGCGGAGAAACCCAACACATGAACCACGGCACATATACACGATACACATGCTTTATCTGTTTGTGTCTGTAGATTTCAATTACAATCCTTATCTTTAAAGAGATTTTTCTCTTTATGGTTTTATTCCTTTCTATGTTCTGAAGGTTTGTTCATATTTCATTAACACTGATTTATACAACATCTTACTCCTAAAAACATAGTGAAATGTGTTTGTTTTCTGTCTGTTGACAGTATTTTCTGATAAAAAGAGAAATCCAAAATCTCCTCTGGAAAAACCTTTAACTCAACAAAATCAAACGAGAATTACGAACCTGACTTTATCCAAAGCTCAGATTTCTGTTCTGGAAATGTATGCAAATGAGTGCATATTTAATTAGATAATGTCACATTAGCATACTTAAACATAACATTTCAGAATACAGAGCTAATTTTTATGTCTTAATGTACTGTGATGAATTCACTGTGGAAGTATGGTGTCTTCTATGGAAGCTTGTTTCCACCACAGGGTTTAAAAAAAGTAATTGTGCCTTTTGAGACTTTTTATCTCACAATTCAGACTCCCCTTCTAAAAACTTCTGAGAAAAGAGAAAACCAATTCTGAGAAAAGTCCAACTGTGAGATATAAACTCATAATTGTGAGAAAAAAGTCAGATTTCTGAATTCAGAAGTTTGTCTCTCATAATTCTTATTTTTTTCCTCTGAATTTGAATCCTTTTTTGTTCTTGATGAATAAAGGTCTGAATTGTGACATGAAAAAGTCAGTTTTATTTGTGTAATTGTACTGGAAGTGTCTTGTCTTGAACGTGTGGAGTGCTGCGAGCACAGAAGCTCAGGAGCTCTTACAGCTTTCTGCTGCTCCTTGAAGTTGGTCCAGAGCAGCTCGAGCTCCGGCGGGACGGCCGATCCAGACAGCTCCAGCGCTTTGATGATGTCTCCGGCGTAACGAGCCTGTTCTTCAGTGATGAAGGTGTACGCGTAACCCTACCACACACACAGAGAGAGAGACGTGAGGCTCATCCTCAGCACACACACACACACACTCACACACAGCCTCACACACACACTCACAGACAGACACACACACAGACACACTCAGACACAGACACACACACAGACTCACACACACAGACTCACACTCACACACAGACTTACACTCACACACACTCACACACAAAC